GCCTCAGAACATCAAGGCCGTCAAAACCGTGGAGCGGTTGAAAAGCCCTCCGCGGCCCCGCGGCGCCTGTCCGTGCATTGGCCCTCAGAGTGTCCAACCGGGTGGGGCCTGAGAGTTTTTTGGTCGCCGGTTCCCAGGCGTGGGCCAGGGGGGTGCGACAAGTAGAGAAAGGCAGCGCGATGCACCTGGTGACGGGCGCCCTTGAGGCATTGCGTCGCGGAGCGTGCGCGTCGAGCCGTCTTCGTACTTTTTTCTGCTAGGTTGCTGGATGCGCGGGGGGGGGGCAGCTGACGACGACCATCGGCAATATCGCGTGCGCCCAAACCTCAAACGCAGCCTCGTCGGCATCTTATCCCGCGGTGGTCTATTGGCGTCGTTGACTGAGCAGTTGGGTGGCGACGATTAACTTCTGGCGCTTTGATGTCTGGGGTTATAGTGGGGGAGGTCTCGTGAACTGGTGGCGCGTGCTCTAGTTGACAGCTCTCTTGCGGCTCGCAATTCCTGTCGGAAGGGCTCCCAGATCTTTGGGGACTTCTTGGCCAAGGCACCCATGGGGCAATTGTCTCGCCCTCGCCCCAAATTTCTGGAAGCGCCTCGGTCGCTCCGTCTTGTTTCAACTACCCGGACCCCCCCCCCGTCCGCCCGTTCTTCCTGCCCCCCGCCCATTGGGTAGACAGTGGGAGCCACTCCCCTTGCTGGTCCCTTCGTTTCCCTGTGGCACCCCCAGTTCCCCTCTTCCGTGCCCCCTGCTCTTGCATTTTATCCACCAGTTTTGCGACCTTTGTGGGTCTCTTGAGGTTGGCTGGCTGTGTTCTGAGGTTCGAGGCGCCGCTGAATGTTGGCTGTTGCGTTGTTTGGGCATGTGTTGCTTGGCTAACCCAGGGTTTGCCATGGTCGCCCAGATTCTGATGAGTGGCCTGTGGGCACTGGTCCTCGTCCTTCAGCCTTTCTATCAATGTCCATGTTTTTGCTGCCTGTTCCCCTCCGTCGTCCCGCCGTCCGCTCGCCCCGTCGCCGCCGTCGGTCTCGCGTCCTTCCTCGTCTTCGGCTTGCGGCTCTCCGCGGTTCCCTTGGTCTGCTTCTCTTGTTGCCCCCCTCTCCTTTGCTTGTTGTTGTCCCTTGCTTCCCCCCTTCCTGTTCCTTGCTGTTTGCTGCTCCTCCAGCTCGTGTCGTTGCTTGTGCGTTTCCTTCTCACTCGCGGCCTGGGGGCCGAGGGAGGGGCCGCCCGCCGCCTCTCTCGCGGGGCCGCGCCCCGCGCGCCGCCCCGTCGGTCCGCCGCCCCGCACGCCGCCCCCTGCCGCGCGAGCCTAGCCAGCGGTTCCCCGACCGAGCCCCCGTTCGGCGGCCGGACGTTCGGCATGGGGAGTAGAGCGTGGCTTTTGGCTGGCTAGCTGGTTCGCGCAGCTGGTAATCAGTACGCATGCTTGCGGGCGGCACGTGGTGCGTAGGGCGCTCTGCTCCCGAAAGCTTGGGCCACCCGCCCCGCGCCAGGTTCCCGACGAAGTTCGAGGCTCCTGCGGCTCTCTGCGGCTGTCGTCCGCTCTCGGCCCGCTTCCCCGCGCCAGGTCCCCGGCGTGTGTTCGAGGCTCCTGTGCGGCAGGGATATTATCTTGTGCGTGTCTTCGTTTTTGTGGGGCGTGCCCCGTGTTGTGCTTCTGTTTTGCTGCTGTGGTTGGGTTGGGCCTGTCGCTTGGTGGGGAGTGACGGTCGCCTCGGGCTCCTGCAGGAGTGGCGACTTGCTCGAATCGCGATGGTCCGGTTTTGATTCGGGCACGCGCCCCCGGGACAACGGACTCCTCGTGCAAAGTGCCCGCCGCTGCTCCTCTTCGCTTCTGTTGCTGTTCTTTGTGCGCCTCCTTCTTCCGATGCGTGCGTGGTTTGACCCGAGGATGAACCACGAACATGTGACGAATGACTCTGAACGTGCGTTGCTGTTGAAAGTATGATCCTCCTTCTCCTCCCCCTCGTCCTCTTTTTTCCTCGCGTTCCTCATCCTCCTCCTCCTCCGCCTCCTCCTCCTCCTCGTCCTCGTTTTCCGCCTCCTCGTCCTCCTCCTCCGCTTTTCCTCCTCCTCCTCTACTCTCCTTCCCTTCTTGGACGGCAGATTTGGACAGCCACGAAAGCCAGCCGCAGAACACATCATGCAACACCCAGCCGCGCAGCACAAATCATGGTTTAGTAGCTGCTGCGACCCCGTTCCAAGCGCCAGAACAACGCTTCTGCGCTATAGCGCACGCGGCATGAGGTGCAATATTGATGCTACAAGTTGTTGTGCAACTTCATGTGGGCAGTGCTCAGCCTACCCTCTTGCCTCTTCCTTCTCCTTCCCCCTCCCCCTTTCCATCCTCCTTTTTTGTCATTCCCTGTTCCCTCCTCCGTCCCTCCCCGCAGCCATGTGGCACCCGAGTGGGTCCCCACCCTCATCGCACAAGGGGGGCCCCGTGCAATGGGGTAATGATTCGGGGTTCCGCCTCGGGCACCGCTTGGGCCTAGGTTTTTTCAGGCCAGTTCCGGTGGCACCCCTAGCGCCCATGGCGGTGCACAGCATTCCCGTCCTCCTTTCATCGCCGTCCTTCGGACGGAGCGAGGACGAGGATGAGTCCGCTCCAGAGCGTTCCAGAACGCTCTGAGAAGGCCGCGGTGCCCGAGACATCTTCCAGAGCCGCCGGATCTCAGATATTCTCTATGGTATCCTCACCCGATGTTATCATCGTCCTGGCTTCGTCTTAGGAGCCCTCCACCCATGCCTCCCACTTTTCCTTCCCGTTACTGGAGGATGACGATTAATAAATGACCGGGGGTCATCTTCACGCGGCGGCGCCCGGGATGACGATTAGAAAAAACCGGCCGCGGGCTGGAAAACTATTTTTGGTATCGTTCTCCTCCAGTCAGAAAATGTTGCAGAAATCGCAGAAAACTATGTTTAAATTTTTGTTTTTTTAATATTTTATTAATCGTCATCCCGCATTACGCAGATCCTCCTCCCCAGCTACTGGCTCCCGACCTGCGGGGCCGACACCACCCGCGCCGACAGCGTGGGCCGAGGGCCGCGCCGGAGGGTCGGAGGCACCGACACGGCGCGGTGACCACACCGCGTGGTAAGTCAGTATCTCGGCACTGCTCGGACCTGTGCTCTTTGTTCCTCGGCGGGGACCATCGAGCAGCATCCTGGGCCGTCTCGCGAAAGATACACGCCCGAAGCCGAAACAGGCACGGGGAACAGACGTCCGAGCGATGGCAAGGGGGGGACGCCAGACCCCCTCGCGCAGTGAAACGACTCAAGGGCTCCCTCGAGGGCGCGAAGTTATTCGCGCTTCGCGCTTCGCGGTCCTCGTTCCTCCTCCCCCTCCTCCTCGTCCTCCTCTTCTCCCTTTGGGAGGGCGGCGCGAGGGCGCGAAGTTATTCGCGCCCTCGCGGAGCGCGAGGGCGCGAAGTTGGGAGCCCTAGACGACTGCGACGGCAAGTCTGGGGCCATCTTCAGGGCCACCGGGGGCCCTCGCCGGACCCCGGGCCATCAGCGAAATGACTCCCTCGAGGGCGCGAAGTTATTCGCGCTTCGCGCTTCGCGGTCCTCGTTCCTTCTCCCCCTCCTCCTCGTCCTCCTCTTCTCCCTCTGGGGGGGCGGCGCGAGAGCGCGAAGTTATTCGCGCTTCGCGCTTCGCGGAGCGCGAAGCGCGAAGTTGGGAGCCCTAGATCAGCGAAATGACTCTGGAGGAAAAGCCGGTCCCTCGGAATGCGGTCGGAACTTCCGGGGCCGCGCACCGAGAACCTCAGAGATCGCACATCTGTTCAGAGCCCCGAGTCATCAGGGGTAACTCGGGTCAGGGATAACTCGGGTTCGCTTTTCGGGAATCCAAACCCGAGTTATCCCGGACCCGAGTTACCCCGGATGAATCGGGCGTCCAAGAGCCCCGAGTCATCAGGGGTAACTCGGGTCAGGGATAACTCGGGTTCGTTTTTCGGGAATCCAAGCCCGAGTTACCCCGGACCCGAGTTACCCCGGATAACTCGGGCGCCCAATCTGTGGAGCGACCGCACGGTTTTGGAACATGTGCCACGGGGGACCTGGCGATGATGCCATTGGGTCGGGGGTGGACAGGCCTCCTGCCCCGACACGTCGATTAGGGAATGGGCCGTTGTCGGTTCGCGAGAGGGCGTCTTGGCCGTCATTTTGCGCGGGTCCCCTTCCGTCGGGTTCGGTCCCAGGCCGTTTTCACTCAGGGGAGGCTTACGAAAGGGAGGTTTGTCCACCGCCGACATTGGGGAGTCCGAGGTCACCCCACGGTCTGTCACCGCACCGGCTCGGGACCCTCAAGCCGAGGTCGCTTCTAGGAGCCTCCACGGGCCGAGAACGAGTTGGGCCCCAAGGGCACGAAGCGCAGACCCAGTGGGAAACGTCCCTGATCGCCCAAGCTCAGTCTCAAACCAACTGGGGCGCGCAAGCCTGGTCCGCACCGCCCTCGAACTCCGCACAATCAGGCGTGAAGTTCACTCGAGCGCAGGTCTCAAAGCGCCTCGAACGGCGAACGAGTGAATAGAGGTCATTCTTCGACGGCGGTTCGACGTGGTTGCGATTTCGTGGCGGGGCGATCCTGCTCGACATTTGCGCGGGACGGCACGTCCGAATGTCCTGGCTTTGCCTGGGCCCCGGGCGAAGGACTACCAGGGAAGAGAAGGATGAGGAGGAGGAGGAGGAGGAGGAGGAGGAGGAGGAGGAGGAGGAGCAGCAACAGCAGCAGCAGCACGAGATGGAGGGAGGAGGAGCAGGAGGAGGAGGAGGAGCAGGAGAGGGAGGGGGAGGAGGGGGGGGGGTCGGCGCAGGAAGAGGAGGATGAGAAAGAGGAGGAAGAGGAGGAGGAGGATGAGGAGGAGGAGGAGGAGGAGGCCAAGGAGGAGGAGGATGAGAAGGAGAAGGAGGAGGAGGACGGCAACAAAACATATAATCCATATGGAGGAACCGAGCAGAGAAAGCAACGTGGGTGCTGCGGGCCACAACCGAGGATGGACGCCGCCCAGCTGACCGCCGAGGGATACTACAGCATCTACGGAAAG